TTTCTTTCATTATATTTATGTAACTGTGGTTCTTGTTACCTGCAAAGTCAAATTCATACGCGTAGTCTAGGCTGACCATGAGAAATTTCTTACCCAGAGCTCGTCATCAGACAAAGACTAAAAATATTAACCAATCAGCATTCAATCATCCATCTTTTTAGTATTTATGCAAGTAAATTGCAGCGTTTTTTTCTTCCAATAGAGCATTTCTACTCTATGATATATTCTTTAACTTCTCTTTACCCTATCTCTCATGGCTTCTTCTTCTTTATCTTCCTCGTCTCACATTAGGAGATATCATGTTTTTCCGAGTTTCCACGGTCCAGACGTCCGTAGAGGATTTCTCAGTCATTTACACAATCACTTTGCAACCAAAGGGATCACAACGTTCAATGACCAGAATATCGAGAGAGGCCACACCATCGGACCTGAACTCGTACAAGCAATTAGAGAATCGAGGGTCTCCATCGTTGTGCTCTCAAAGAAGTATGCTTCTTCAAGCTGGTATTTGGATGAGCTGGTGGAAATCTTTAATTGCAAAGAAGCTTGGCGGCACATTGTGATGACAATTTTGTTTTACGAAGTTGATCCATCCGACGTACGGAAACAGAGCGGTGATTTTGGGAGTGCTTTTGAGAATACTTGTCAAGGGAAAACAGAAGAGGAGAAGCTGAGATGGAGCAAAGCTCTGACTGGTGTCGCAAACATATAGCAGGAGAACATACTCTACACTGGTATGTAGCTTTTTTTTTGTCTCCGAATGAATAAATGTTTTCAACATTCTTAATAAAATCCTTCGATGGTGGTGTCTCTTAACATTTAGACTTGTTTCTTTTTTTAAGGGAAGATGATCGAAAAGATTGCTGCTGATGTTTCAAACAAACTGAATCTAACACCATCAAAGGATTTTGACGGGATGGTGGGAATGGAAGCTCACTTGAGACAGGTAAACTCTTATTTACGCCTAGAGTGCGATGAAGTAAAGATGATTGGAATTCAGGGTCCTGCGGGAATCGGTAAGACAACCATTGCGAGAGCTTTGTTTAACCTTAAATGCTTTATGGGAAACCTCAGGGGAAGTTATGGGACTGTTGGTATTGATGACCATGATTTGAAGTTGTGTTTACAAAGCCAACTTCTGTCCAAGATTTTGAGCCAAAGGGATATGAGGGTACACCATTTAGGCTCAATAAAAGAATGGCTACAAGACCAAAGAGTCCTTATAGTTCTTGACGATGTAGATGATCTTGAACAACTAGACACGTTGGCTAAAGAACCATCTTGGTTTGGATTAGGAAGTCGAATTATCGTTACCACGGTAGCTAGAGAGAAAGATATTGAAGGCATATAACGTAAATGATATCTATCATGTGGGTTATCCATCTGAAGAAGAAGCTCTTGAGATCTTATGTTTAAATGCCTTCAAACAAGGCTCTCCATCGGATGGTTTTGAAGAGCTTGCACAGAAAATAACAAATCTTTGCGGTAATCTTCCGTTAGGCATGAGTGGGAAAGTCAATTATCTACGCTGAAATATAGTATTGATAGAAAAATTGAGGACGTACTAAAAGTCGGATATTACAGATTGATGGAGAAAGATCAATCTCTATTTCTCCACATTCTTTAACAATGAAGCCGTTGATCATGTGACAACCATGCTAGCTGACAGTAACGGGTTGCTGACCCTTGAGGATAAATCTCTGGTGTATGTCTCGACCAACGGGTTGATAACGATGCATTGTTTACTGCAACAATTGGCCAGACTAATAGTTCATAAACAGTCTGACGAGCCCGGGAAACGTCAGTTTTTGGCAGAGGCCAAAGAGATTCATGATGTGTTGGCAAATAAAACAGTAAGTTCTTATATATATTTTCTCTACATAACTTGATCAACAAATCTTTGGTTTTGTGATTACAATCTCACAATTCTTCTCTTGGTACACCTGTAGGGTACTGGATCTGTCTTGGGTATATCATTTGATACGTCCAAGATGAGCGAGTTCTCTATAAGTGGCCAAGCCTTTGAAGGAATGCGTAACCTCCGATTCTTAAGAATATATGGGAGATATGTAACTAATGATTCGTTCTAAATAAGATATTTCTATTTATTGTGTTCAACATTCAGACCCTTGCAAATCTCAAAGATATAAATTTGGGATATTCCAAAAATCTGATAGAAATCCCAGATCTTTCAAGGGCTACTAATCTCGAGACATTGACACTTACATCTTGCACAAGGTTGGTGGAGCTTCCCTCCTCAATTGGGAATCTACAGAAACTGAAAAAACTGATGATGATGGGGTGCGTAAAGTTACGAGTTGTTCCAACCAACATCAACTTAGCATCTCTTGAAGAAGTCAACATGAGTGATTGAGAAGTTACCCTAATATTTCTTTTAGTATCAAGGATCTTGATATTGAAAACACAAAGATGGAAGTTCATCCATCAATTGTTGATTGTTTGCCTGTTCTTGAGTGGCTTCGTATAGGCGGCAGAAACCTCAAGAGATTAACACATGTCCCAGAAAGTGTTATAGAGAGCATTCCAGAATGCGTCATAGGTCTCTCTCGGCTAGAAAGTCTTTTCGTCTACCGGTGCAGAAAACTTTTGTCACTATTGGGTCTTCCCCCTTCTCTCAAGTACATAAATGCGAACGATTGTGGATAACTCGAGAGAGTGAGTTTCTACTTCAGTGGTTCAATGAGAGAACTCGTGTTCCAGAACTGTTTGAAACTGGATGAAGAATCAAGAAGAGTAATCATGCNACAAAGGGTTTACGACAATGTATGTTTACCGGGTAAAGAAGTTCCTGCGGAGTTCACTCACAAAGCTACAGGAAACTCCTTAGTTATCCCTATGGTTCTGGATGGTAAGGTAAAATTTCTCAATATCCTCAAGATTAAGATTTAAGGCTTGTCTTCTGCTTTCGCCAATCAAGCACTCACACCTTGATATAGCTTGTCTAATAACCAAAGGAGGTGTCACCATTGCGGAACTTAAGTGGGATCAAATGAATGTTTCTAATTTTGTAACGGAGCATCTGTTTATATGTGGTGGTAGCTTGGTTCAGGAAACACCTAATGTCGATGTGACTGCGAACGAGATTCTATTTGAATTCAGCTGCAGGGATAGCCTCAAGATTATTGAGTGCGGTGTACAGATCATGAGTGAGGAAACAGAGAGTAGCATTGGAAGCAAAGCGGGCTGCGTTGAAATTGAAAGTGGAGGCAGTAGCTACCACCACACATATGGAGATGAAAACTACGAACCCGAAGCCGTTCAGGTCTCTCATCGTGAAAACGTTCATAGCAGTAAATATAAGTGTAACTGGAATTGGAGGTGGCTTAAGAAGCTTTGTTCTGGAAAAGAAGATAATGACGGAGAAGATTATAATCACGGACAACAATACATTGAAAGACAACCCATTTTCCTACAACAATCCATGTCCCCCATTATGATTCGAAGAAGATGAAGGTGTTTGCTTTGCTCATCTCTTTTTTCCATTGTTATTTCCGCATGAATTTCATGTATAGCACATTAAGTTTTTTTTTTTTTGAAAGAATGTTAAATTATTCATTCAAAAACCAACTGTTTTACAATGAAAACTACAAATTTTACAGGTTCTTAGATTTTTTGAATTTTACAACAAAGTTCGTCGTTAACTTCTTCTTGTTCGAGTCGTACTTGCAAACCATTCGACAAGAGCATCTTTGTAAATTGTATTTCCTTGTCTCCTTAGTGTACTAAGACGATTCCTCACCGATTTATCCACCATGTTTGCTATTTGCGTGGTTGTGCCTACTTG